CCTAGAAGTTGCTTGTGCAAAGTCACTGGCCAGGTGGCCTGGACACGAGGAGGGAGCCGGGCCTTGTCAGAGGTGCATCTGAGGCTCCTGGAAGTTGGTTGCTGAACCAGACCTTCAGTCTTCAGAGTCTGTCTTCATAGGGATTTATCCTCATACAGGTCTATAGGGTTTGCCTCATCACGCTGGTCTCATGTTTGAAGTGACAATCGATTGCTGGTCTCACGTTTGAAGTGAGGGTCAATCGCTGGTCTCACGTTTGACATGAGGGTCAATCGCTGGTCTCCCATTTGAAGTGACAATCGTTGGTCTCACGTTTGACGTGACGGTCAATCGCTGGTCTCATGTTTGAAGTGACAATCGATTGCTGGTCTCACGTTTGAAGTGAGGGTCAATCGCTGTTCTCACGTTTGAAGTGACAATCGCTGGTCTCACGTTTGACGTGACAATTGTTGGTCTCACGTTTGATGTGACAATCGATTGCTGGTCTCACGTTTGAAGTGAGGGTCAATCGCTGTTCTCACGTTTGAAGTGACAATCGCTGGTCTCACGTTTGACGTGACAATTGTTGGTCTCACGTTTGATGTGACAATCGATTGCTGGTCTCACGTTTGAAGTGAGGATCAATCGCTGGTTTCACGTTTGACATGACAATCGCTGGTCTCACGTTTGAAGTGAGGGTCAATCGCTGTTCTCACGTTTGAAGTGACAATCGATTGCTGGTCTCATGTTTGAAGTGAGGGTCAATCGCTGTTCTCATGTTTGAAGCGACAATCTCTGGTCTCACGTTTGAAGTGAGGGTCAATCGCTGTTCTCACGTTTGAAGTGACAATCGATTGCTGGTCTCACGTTTGAAGTGAGGGTCAATCGCTGGTCTCACATTTGAAGTGACAATCTCTGGTCTCACGTTTGATGTGACAATCGATTGCTGGTCTCACGTTTGAAGTGAGGGTCAATCGCTGGTCTCACGTTTGAAGTGACAATCGCTGGTCTCACGTTTGACATGAGGGTCAATCGCTGGTCTCCCATTTGAAGTGACAATCGTTGGTCTCACGTTTGACGTGACGGTCAATCGCTGGTCTCACGTTTGAAGTGACAATCGATTGCTGGTCTCATGTTTGAAGTGAGGGTCAATCGCTGTTCTCACATTTGAAGTGACAATCGATTGCTGGTCTCACGTTTGAAGTGAGGGTCAATCGCTGGTCTCACGTTTGACGTGACAATCGCTGGTCTCACGTTTGACGTGAGGGTCAATCGCTGGTCTCACATTTGAAGTGACAATTGTTGGTCTCACATTTGATGTGACAATCGATTGCTGGTCTCACGTTTGAAGTGAGGGTCAATCGCTGGTCTCACGTTTGACGTGACAATCGCTGGTCTCACGTTTGACGTGAGGGTCAATCGCTGGTCTCACGTTTGCTGTGATGGTCACTCACGCAGATCGCACTGCAGTGACTTGTGGCTTGTTGTTATCTTGCTCTTCGGGTCTTTGGCCTTGGGGCACTTGGGGGTGGACTCCGGTGTGCCCTCGGGGTTATCGGGGCCAGCTCGCCCAGCGCATCTTTCGGCCGAGTGCTCCGGGGTAATTGTTTTCCTTATTCTAAGGCTGGCCCCTCGGCCTTGTATTACCCAGCAACGTCCAGCTGCAGAGAGGCCCTGTGCCACGTCCCACCTTCCTGGCATGGGCACAGCGGATTCCCGATTTATCCTGTAACGTCCCCGCCCTGAAACCACCGGGGCTGGCGGGCTCCAGGCAGCCCATCCGTGGCACTTGTCAAAAGGAGTTGCCCGAACGTGATCTTGTGGCTTTTGGAACCGAGTCTCCGGATGGTCGCCGGCAATTAACACAGACCGTGTGAACGAACAGGCCTGGCCCACTTCGGCCAGGCTCAGCAGGCTGCGAGAAGAGGCGGAGAGACAAATCCGGGCTCTGTACTGGGCCACACTCGTCCCTCTTTTATCCAGGGACGGCATAAAACCTATTAATCCTTATTTTAATCCAACACCCCACCCACCAGCGCTGAGCCCCCCCCCGCCCCGCCCCTTGTCCCCCAGTGCCCCCTAGTGCCGCCCTGGGGCCAGCCCTGCCTGCCGGGGGAGAGCACCCCCTGCCGAGCCCTCCGCCCCGCTCTCTGCCCCCCAGCGCCCCCGAGCGCCGCCCTGGGGCCAGCCCTGAAAGCGCCCCTTCCTGCCCCCCCCTCACACAGCACTGGGGCATCGGGGCCAGCACTGACTGTGGGGCGAATGCCCCCCTCAACTGAGCCCCTTCCCCCCATATCTGGCAGGATCCAAGTGCCTTGTGAGAGCGACCCCCCCATCCTACCTGGCCCCGGCGGGGGTCCCTCCTGGCATCCCCACCGAGAGCTGCCAAATTTCTTACCACACAAAGCCTGCCCTGCCCCTTCGCGGAGGCCCTGCCCCCCGTCACCCCAGCCGCCCGCCCCCCTTCACCCCAGCCCCCCACCCGCCATCACTCACTGTCCCCCACCCTCACTCACTTTCACTGGGCTGGGGCAGGGGGTCGGGGTGCGGGGTCCGGGAGGGGGTTCGGGTGTGGGAGGGGGCTCCGGGCTGGGGCAGGGGGTCAGGGTGCGGGGTCCGGGAGGGGGTTCGGGTGCGGGAGGGGGCTCCGGGCTGGGGCAGGGGGTCGGGGTGCGGGGTCCGGGAGGGCGGGCAGGGGACCACCTCTACCCCCCTCCCCCGAGTGTCATTCCACATTGGGGTGCAGTTTGCAGCAGGAGGGAAGATGCCCCCAGCTACCCCCCCATGCACACCCAGCCCCCAGCCACCCCCTCCCTGCCCCCTGAGCTACCCCGCACCCGCACCCAGCCCCCAGCTACCCCCTCCCTGCCCCCTGAGCTACCCCGCACCCGCACCCAGCCCCCCTCTCCCTGCCCCCTGGGACCAGCCCCACCCCGGGGGGAGACCGCGCAGGAGTTGGCGGGACCGGAGCTCCTACGTCGCGACCCCAGGAACGAGAGAGGACGTGGGGCGGGAACGCCGGAAGCCCAGGTCCTAGGGTCCAAGCATGACGCGAGACGTCCGGCTGCTGCAGCCAAGGACCCACCAAATCGCGGCCCCCCCCCCCCAGCAGAAGTCTGGACCCCCCGGCTCCCGAACGGCCCCGAAGCTGGCGAGGTGACGGGCAGGACCCAACTTTCCGCGACACGTCGGTCCTTGGACTCTCGGGGCTGCAACCGGTTGGATTCGGGGAGGAAACGGGGGATTTTCTTCGTGTTTTGCCTGGGGACCAGGGCGGGCCTCAGTTTCCCTGCGTGCATAACCAGGAGGGGCAGTTTGCTGTTGCAGGGGACCAGCTGCGACCGGACAACGGCCTGGAGGTGGGGGACCCCAGCGGCCGGTGAGCTGGTGGCCACGGGGCCACCCCAGCTTGGCAGCCGGCCGGGTGGGGCCAGTGGGAGGAGACGGGCCGAGGAGCGGGGTCCCGGCCCCGGGGCGGGGACGACACAAAGGACGGAGGATGGCAGGGGAGGCCCAGTGACCTCTTAACCTGGGACGGTCGACAAAGGACGGGGGGGGGGGGGGGAGATGATCTAGGGGGCTCGGCTGGAAGGACGGGGCTCTGGACCGGGGGGGGGGAGGCAGAGCGGGGGTCGAGCACCCCCTGTGAGACCGGGGTGGGGGGCATGGAGGGGCCGGGAAAGAAGGTGACTCGCGTCTGTCAACTTTCGATCAAGGACTTTCATGAGCCAACGGACAATTAATCACACAAACGCCCAGCGGCGCCCCCCCCCGCCCCGTTAGCCCCCGGCATGCGGGGAGCGGGCGGGGGACCTGGTGGGGGGCGAGGGGGGGCCCGGCCCCACCCAGCCCGGGAGACGCCGCCGGGAGGTTCCCACCCGGCCTGCAGGGGGAGCCGGAGGGAGGCCCCACAGGAAGGAGCCGCCCTGGCCATGTGCCGGCTGCAGGGGGAGGGTCAGGACGCCTGGGTTCTCTGCCCAGCTCTGGGAGGGGAGTGGGGCTGGTGGGTCAGAGCAGGGGGGGCTGGGAGTCAGGACTCCTGGGTTCTCTCTCCGGCTCTGGGAGGGGAGTGGGGGCTGGTGGGTCAGAGCAGGGGGGGCTGGGAGCCAGGATGCCTGGGTTCTCTGCCCGGCTCTGGGTGGGGAAGGGGGCTGGTGGGTCAGAGCAGGGGGGCTGGGAGCCAGGACTCCTGGGTTCTCTCTCCGGCTCTGGGAGGGGAGTGGGGGCTGGTGGGTCAGAGCAGGGGGGGCTGGGAGCCAGGATGCCTGGGTTCTCTGCCCGGCTCTGGGTGGGGAAGGGGGGCTGGTGGGTCAGAGCAGGGGGGGCTGGGAGCCAGGACTCCTGGGTTCTCTCTCCGGCTCTGGGAGGGGAGTGGGGGCTGGTGGGTCAGAGCAGGGGGGGCTGGGAGCCAGGACTCCTGGGTTCTCTCTCCGGCTCTGGGAGGGGAGTGGGGGCTGGTGGGTCAGAGCAGGGGGGCTGGGAGCCAGGATGCCTGGGTTCTCTGCCCGGCTCTGTGGGGGAAGTGGGGGCTGGTGGGTCAGAGCAGGGGGGGCTGGGAGCCAGGATGCCTGGGTTCTCTGCCCGGCTCTGTGGGGGAAGTGGGGGCTGGTGGGTCAGAGCAGGGGGGGGCTGGGAGCCAGGATGCCTGGGTTCTCTGCCCGGCTCGTGGGGGGGAGTGGGGGCTGGTGGGTTAGAGGAGGGGGGCTGGGAGCCAGGACGCCTGGGTTCTCTCCCTGGCTCTAACTACTAGGCCCCTCTCCCCTCCCAGAGCCGGGGAGGGAACCCAGGCGTCCTGGCTCCCAGGCCCCCCTGCTCTAACCACCAGCCCCCTCTCCCCTCCCAGAGCCAGGGAGGGAACCCAGGCGTCCTGGCTCCCAGGCCCCCCTGCTCTAACCCACCAGCCCCCACTCCCCTCCCAGAGCCGGGGAGGGAACCCAGGTGTCCGGGCTCCCAGCGATGATCTCCAGGAGGCCGGGGCGGAGGAGGGGCTCCCCAGGGGGCCGTGCCCGTGTGGGAACGTGGCTCACCGGCCCTGCTCTCCCCACAGCGAGCGCCAGGATGGGCCCCCCGAGGATGCTGCGGAAGCAGAGCTGGGCCCTGGTCCTGGCCGTGGGCACCACCCTCAGCTTCAGCCTCTCCGTGCTGTGGAGGGTTCAGAGGTGAGTGATGGGGGCTGGGAGCCAGGACGCCTGGGTTCTCTGCCCGGCTCGGGGAGGGGGGCTAGTGGTTAGAGCAGGGGGGGCTAGGAGCCAGGACTCCTGGGTTCTCTGCCCGGCTCTGGGAGGGGAGTCGGGGCTGGTGGGTTAGAGGAGGAGGGGCTGGGAGCCCGGACGCCTGGGTTCTCTCCCCGATTCTGGGAGTGGCGTGGGGTCTGCGGGGTTAGAGCAGGGTGGGCTGGAGGCCCGGACTCCTGGGTTCTCTCTCTCGGCTGCTTTTAATCTCTCTGTGCCCCCCCAGCCGTGCCCCCCCGCTGGCGGAAAGAGCCTCCTTTGAGGGTATGGCATCAGCGTGCGAACCAGGGATCGGCTGGCTCACGACCTGTGCCACGAAGCCCAGGTGTGTGGGGGGCGCGAGGTGGGGCCGGGGTGCTGGCATGCGAGGGAGCGGGCCATAGGGGGCAGGGGAATCAAAGGGGCCGGGAGTGGAGACATGCTGACACGGGCTTGGGGGGGATGGATGGGTGGGAGGCTGTGGCGGGGGGGGGGGAAGGATGGGGTCTTGGGGGGGTGGGGAGAAGAGGAAGCACCCCCAGGGGTGTCTCCTTTCCGTAGTTAACCCCTCATCTTCCTTTCCAGCCCTGAGGCCAGGGAGATGGCCGCGGAGCAGTGCCAGGAGCTGGGGCAGAAATTGAGCCGGGGGGTCCTCCCCATGAGGCGAGTGTGGCTGGGGGCAGGCCGGTCTCTGGGGCAGGGTGCTGGGGGAGGGGACCCACAGGATAGCCCCACTGAGCGCGCCCACATCCTGGGGCTGGCTTTCCTCGTTAAGGGCTGGACCGGGTCCGTAGCCCTCTCTCCAAGCCTGCCCCCACTGGGCAGCCATGCGAAACACAAGGGAAACTGAGGCACCCACGGGGGACTTAAAACCATTACTGGTCGGTCAGTGACTCTCTGTCTCTCCCCCCAGGCTGGACGAGGCCTGGATCTGGAGGCAGCTGACGCTGGTGCAGAGCTGCCCCTGGGCGCATAACGCCAGCGCCCTGGGCCGGTACAGGTACCCCCCACCCCGACCGTCCCGTCCCCGACTCCATTTCTTCTGCACCCCCCTGGGTTGCGAAGCCAAGGCGCAGAGTCCTACGGAGAGGGTGCAAACTAGTGCAGACAATTCCCCCCCCCCGCGCCCACCCTTCCCATGACCCTGCCCCCCTTCCCCATTCCACCGTGCCCCCCCCCATGTCATCCCTCTCCCCCTCGCAGGGAGCAGCTGGGACGCCGCTGTAATGCAACGGCCAGGCTGGTGCTGACCCGGGACAACACCCCGCTGGGCTCCCGGATCGTCTACGACGGACAGCGGGCCAAGAAGTATGTGGTGAAGGAGGAGCTGCTGGAGATGCTGCCGCAGGTAGGGGGCGCTGGGCTGGGGGGGCGGCGGGGCCTCAGCGCCGGGCGCTCCGCCCCAGAAGTGGCTGCATCTCATCCCCGGGCGAGTGGTACTTTATAAACCGCCCCCCCACCACGCCTCACACCAGAGGTGGGTGCATCTCAATGCTGGGTGAGGGGTCCCTGTCTAACCAGCTGCCACGCCCCACCCCAGAGGTGGCTGCATCTCAGTGCTGGGTGAGGGTCCCTGTCTAACCCGCTGCCACGCCCCACCACAAAGGTGGCTGCATCTCAGTGCTGGGTGAGGTGTCCCTGTGTAACCAGCTGCCATGCCCCACCCCAGAGGTGGCTGCATCTCAGTGCTGGGTGAGGGGTCCCTGTCTAACCCGCTGCCACGCCCCACCCCAGAGGTGGCTGCATCTCAGTGCTGGGTGAGGGGTCCCTGTGTAAGCAGCTGCCACGCCCCACCCCAGAGGTGGCTGCATCTCAATGCTGGGTGAGGGGTCCCTGTGTAACCAGCTGCCACGCCTCACCCCAGAGGTGGCTGCATCTCAGTGCTGGGTGAGGGGTCCCTGTGTAACCAGCTGCCACACCCCATCCCAGAGGTGGCTGCATCTCAGTGCTGGGTGAGGGGTCCCTGTGTAACCCGCTGCCACGCCCCAACCCAGAGGTGGCTGCATCTCAGTGCTGGGTGAGGGGTCCCTGTGTAACCAGCTGCCACGCCCCACCCCAGAGGTGGCTGCATCTCAGTGCTGGGTGAGGGTCCCTGTCTAACCCGCTGCCACGCCCCACCACAAAGGTGGCTGCATCTCAGTGCTGGGTGAGGGGTCCCTGTCTAACCAGCTGCCACGCCCCACCCCAGAGGTGGCTGCATCTCAGTGCTGGGTGAGGGGTCCCTGTGTAAGCAGCTGCCATGCCCCACCCCAGAGGTGGCTGCATCTCAATGCTGGGTGAGGGGTCCCTGTGTAAGCAGCTGCCACGCCCCACCCCAGAGGTGGCTGCATCTCAGTGCTGGGTGAGGGGTCCCTGTGTAACCAGCTGCCACACCCCATCCCAGAGGTGGCTGCATCTCAGTGCTGGGTGAGGGGTCCCTGTGTAACCAGCTGCCACGCCCCACCCCAGAGGTGGCTGCATCTCAGTGCTGGGTGAGGGGACCCTGTGTAACCAGCTGCCACGCCTCACCCCAGAGGTGGCTGCATCTCAGTGCTGGGTGAGGGGTCCCTGTGTAAGCAGCTGCCACACCCCATCCCAGAGTTGGATGCATCTCAGCGCCGGAAGAGGGGCCCTGTGTGTGGGAGGTCCTGCTCATGGCCGGTGGGTGCTGACCCAGGTCCCCTATCCCGCAGGGCTCCCCGTTTCAGGACGCCCCCTACGAGTGCTGCGCCGTGGTGGGGAGCGGGGGGATCCTTCGTAACAGCAGCTGTGGCCCCGAGATTGACCGTGCTCAGTTCGTCATCAGGTAACGGTGGCTGGGCGGGGGCGGGGGGGGCAGAGTGGGGGAGGGGAAGCAGTTATACCGGCTGGAGTGGGCTCTGCAGGGTGGGGGGTGCGGAGGGAGGGGGATCAGAGGGTGGGGGGTGCAGAGATCAGGGAGTGCGGGGAGCGCAGGGGGTTATCTCTGAGCCGCACAGGGTGAGGAAGGAACTGTGGAGCCATGGGGACCCCCAGGAAGTAGGGAGACCCCTGGTCCCCCAGATGCCCCGAGGCTCATGCTGACCCCCCCTCAGGTTCAACCTGCCCCCCATGGACTTTGCCGAGGACGTGGGCACCAAATCGAGCGTCGTCACCGTGAACCCCAGCATCCTGGATTTACGGTACGGGCGTGCGGGAGGAGAACCCTGATTGGGGGGCGGGGCGGATTCGGGACCTGTGGGGTGGGGAAGGGAGGAGTGTGGATTGAGACCCACGGGGGAAGAAGGATGGGATTGGATGCCAGCCCCCTAGCTCTCCGATCAGCCATAGTGTCACCAGGGGACTGGGGTCAGAGGAGGCCCAGCCCCCTAGCTCTCCGATCAGCCATAGGGTCACTGGGGGATCGGGGCAGAGGAGACCCAGCCCCCCGGCTCTCCGGTCAGCCATAGGGTCACCGGGGGATCGGGGCAGAGGAGACCCAGCCCCCCAGCTCTCCGATCAGCCATAATGTCACCAGGGGACTGGGGTCAGAGGAGGCCCAGCCCCCTAGCTCTCCGATCAGCCATAGTGTCACCGGGGGATTGGGGTCAGAGGAGGCCCAGCCCCCCTAGCTCTCCGGTCAGCCATAGCGTCACCGGGGGATCGGGGCAGAGGAGTCCCAGCCCCCCAGCTCTCCGGTCGGCCATGGGGTCACCGGGGGATCGGGGCAGAGGAGACTGAGCCATGGGACGGCCGTGGGAGGGAACGGGTCTGGCGCTGGGGGACGGGCCGTGCCAGGACAGCGGCTGACGGGGGCGTCTCCCCTGCCCGCAGGTTCAGGGGTCTGAGGTGGCGGCGACGTCCCTTCGCGGAGGCGGTGGGCACCTACGGGGCCCCGCTGCTCCTCATCCCGGCCTTCAGCTTCGCCGGCATCAGCGCGGTCTCGTTCCAGGCCCTTTACACCCTGGAGGACTTCGGCTCCCCGGCCCGGGCCCTCTTCATGAACCCCGAGTACCTGGCGCGGCTGGATGGGCACTGGCGTCTCCGTGGGCTGCGTGCCAACCGCCTCTCTTCGGGCTTCATGCTGGTGAACGCCGCCCTGGAGATGTGCCGGCACCTCACCCTCTACGGCTTCTGGCCCTTCCCCGACGACCCCGAGGGGCGGCCCCTGCCCCACCACTACTACGACAACCAGCCCCCCAAGCCGGGCTTTCACGCCATGCCCGAAGAGTTCACCCGCTACCTGGGCCTGCACCTGCAGGGCGCGCTGTGGCTGCATCTGGGGCGCTGCCGGTGAGGAGTCTGGCCGGCAGCCGCGCACAACGAGGCTTGGATGGGGGGGTCTGAAATGAGCCCCCCGCCCCTCAATTCCACTTTGCTCCCTCCCCAGTTACCAAAGGAGGAAAATAGCCAGGGGCACCAATTCATTAGGCATTCGTTAATTGCCATTCGTTAATTGGTTTCTCTTCAGTGATGTTTGATGAACAAAGTTCATTAATGGCAAGGTGTCCGTTGGCCTCCTTTAATTACTAATTAATGATCACAGTTCATTCGCTGTGAGTTGTTGGCTGGCCTGTTCATAGCTCTTTAATTATTGCAGTTTGTTCATTGTAATTAATAAGTCATCACCTCTTAATTGCGATTTAATTATCGCAGTTCAACCATCCTTAATTGATATCTCTTGCTGGCTAGTGAATCCTGGCGGACGGTTACTTGTAATTAGTAATTCACCAGCTGTCTGTCACTAATAAAGGCTCTTTCGTGATTGCTCTTTGTTAGGGGTGTGAGGGGTTGTCACCCCCGGGGTGCAGTCTGTGCCCCCTAACACTCACACTGCTTTTCTGGTAACTCAGCCAGCTGCTCCGGGCCCTGTTATCTCCCACACGACAGCACTACCTGAGTGCTTTACCTAAGCCACTCGTAGATCCACTATATAAGCACAAGCCAGTTCCCAGCTCCTCAGCCTTGCACCCTCACTAGAGAACAAACCCTGAATTCTCCCGTCTTGCACTGCCCAGAAAGCTCATGAATTCGTCCGCTCCCCCCTCGATGCAGGGAAGGTATGCGCCAGCCTTGGTTAGCTGAGCTGGGATTTCCCCACTCCAAAACACACGGGTCAGGATAAAACAGAAAACAAGTTTATCAAACTCCAGCGAGAGCGATTTGAAGTGAGTGTAAATGATAGCAAACAGATCAAAGCGGGTCACCTAGGAAATTAAACAAAACATGCAAACAAACCCTAATGTACTAGATAGGATTTGAATCAGAGATATCTCACCCCGATACAAGCAGTCCACCAAGTTTCTATACACAGGCTAGAAATCCCTTTAGCCTGGGACCAGCACTTCCCCCAGTTCAGTGTTTGTTCCTCAGGTGTTTCCAGGTGTTCTCTTGTGTGGGGAGTGGGATCCAGAGGTGACGTCACTCCCAATCTTTCAGAGCCTTTCCCTACGGCGGGAATGCCTTTGTTCTAAGCTAAGGGGCTGGGCAGCAGTTCTGCAGAAAAGGACCTAGGGGTGACAGTGGACGAGAAGCTGGAGATGAGTCAACAGTGTGCCCTTGTTGCCAAGAAGGCCAATGGCATTTTGGGATGTATATGTAGGGGCAGTGCCAGCAGATCGAGGGACGTGATCGTTCCCCTCTATTCAACATTGGTGAGGCCTCATCTGGAGTACTGTGTCCAGTTTTGGGCCCCACACTATAAGAAGGATGTGGAAAAATTGGAAAGAGTCCAGCGAAGGGCAACAAAAGTGATTAGGGGTCTGGAACACATGAGTTATGAGGAGAGGCTGAGGGAGCTGGGGATGTTTAGTCTACGGAAGAGAAGAATGAGGGGGGATTTGATAGCTGCTTTCAACTACCTGAAAGGGGGTCCAAAGAGGATGGATCTAGACTGTTCTCAGTGGTAGCAGATGAGAGGACAAGGAGTAATGGTCTCAAGTTGCAGTGGGGGAGATTTAGTTTGGATATTAGGAAACACTATTTCACGAGGCGGGTGGTGAAGCACTGGAATGCGTTACCTAGGGAGGTGGTGGAATCTCCTTCCTTTGAGGTTTTTAAGGCCCGGCTTGACAAAGCCCTGGCTGGGGTGATTTAGTTGGGATTGGTCCTGCTTTGAGCAGGGGGTTGGACTAGATACCTCCTGAAGTCCCTTCCCACCCTGATCTTCATTGATTCTATGATTCTAAGTTCCCAGCCCAGGTGGTGGAAAAATACAGGTACCAAGATGGAGTCCAGTGTCGTGTGATCTGGTCATATGCCCTTGTGAGTCATAGCAGCCATTATCCATCGGCTGGCTGAAGGGTTCCCAGGAAGGCTCACCAAGTGGGGGATAAGGCCTATTGTTCCCCTAAGGGCCCACCACAACCCGCTGTCTAGACTGGCAGCATCGGGCCGAGCGGGTGTCACCCAGGTGTAGCCGCATTCGAAATACAGACAGGTCGTGAATATTCATAACTCCAGATACAAACATGATCCAGGCACACAAACAGGATAATCTTCTTCAGCGCGTCGTAATGTTTCCATAGACACCTCACATGCCACACACTGTACAAAGTGCATCGTAATGACCTCATACTCCCATCAAAGCTGTTCCAATATGATGACTATGACAAGGGGCACCTCGTCAAGTGCTCCTCATCATCCGTGACACCGCCTTCCCTGCTCAGTCGTTAACGGCGAGTCGCCCTTTGTCCCTTGCTGCTCCCTGTGCTGGGGTGACCCGTTAATTCGTTCCCCGGCCTTGATGGCTTGTTTATTTAATCCCAGGCCGGCACCACCTACGGGGGGGCTCTGGTAGTGGCCGCTCACCGGGCAGGTTTGATCCCCGACGCCCTGTTGCCACCGCACCAACCCTCGGCCCACGGAGGTGCCTTTTCTTTGGGCCGCGAAATTCCATTTGGCTTTGGCTGATGGTAAGTGTCATGACCAGGGTCATATGAAGCCAGCTGGGGACCGGACTCAATGACCCTGACAGCCCCTTCCGGTCGTTATGGCCCGATGATACCAGCCTTCTACCGCTGCTGGCGAGGGCGGATTGTCCTGTATCCGCAGCGGCACCAGCCGGCACTGGAAAGGGGCAGGGTTGCACTCCCGCTGAGCGTTTGGGTGACCAATGGGCGTGTTTCAGCTTTGTACAGGGCGTGAAAGGGTTAATTCCTCCTCTGGGACAGGGGGCAGTGAAGGGTGGGTGTCAGAAGCACCACAGGCCGTTTTGACTGGCCTGGACCCACCAGTGTGACCTGCCCACAGACTGACGCGGGGCCCGCCGGAGAGCCCCGGACGGGACCCGAACGCAGCCCCTGTGACTCGGAGAAAACCCTGGGAAATGCCCTGCAAAAAACTCCGTTATGGGTGGAAAGGGTCCGTCCCCCCCCCCACGTGACCTGAATCTGGTCACCTTGTGCGCCCGTGTTACGCCACGATCTTTAATTGCCCATTTCCCACAGCCCCCCTGCCTCATGGCGGGTGCAAGGGGGCAGAGTGGAGGCATTTCCTGCCTCGCCCACGCTCGGCTGCGTAAGCTCAGGAATGGGGCGGAGGGCTGAGGGGTTGGTCTCCGCAGGACTGCGCTGTGGGGTTGGTGTGAGATTCTGAGCGGGACGAACATGGGAATTTTGATGCCCGGTGTGTGCCTCAGTTTCCCTCAGAGCGTGACGGGCAGGGACAGGTGTCCGTGCTCGCGCGCGGGGCCGTTAATCATCTCACTCGGCAGCGTGCGGTGGACGGCTTTGCAGACATAGCCGTTCCGCCGGGGGGCACAAGGCGGCACCAAGCACGAGGTTCAGTCGCGAGGGGCTACAGAACCGGCTTGAGCCCCCGCTTGGAAACCTGGGGGAACTAAAACCCACCCCAGCCCCTCCCGGCTCTTCCAACTTCCGGGCAATCACTTGTGCGAACACACCTACCAACACGTGTGGCTCTGGAAGCTGATCACAGCCAATTTGGGGGCTCACGGAAAAGGAGCAAGTAGGGTCGAGGCCACAGGGGAAGGGGTGCAATGGGGCGGGTCCACAGGGGCAGGAGCAGAATGGGGCGGGGCCACAGGGAAAGGGGCGGGGCCATGGGTGGAACGGAGGCGGGGCTGCAGGGCAGGGGTGAAATGGGGGTGGGCCCACAGGCGGAAGGGGTGGAGTGAGGCCATGGTGCTGGGCCCCCCACTTGCTCCAGCCCAGGAGACCTTAATCTGCCTCTGATTGCAGTACGGCCAACCCCAAATGTTCAAAACTCATGAGTCAGGCCCACCGGAAAGCGTGAGCTTGGCTTTAAAATCATGCAATCCTGTAAAAGGAAGAGATTTGGGGGATCTTTTCATTTGCCTTCTGCTTGTTGAGCCGCGAGGGCGCCCGGTGGGCCCCGTTTTGAAGCTTTCTCCACAGCCCCGAGGGCTAGAAACGTCCAGTGCCTTTGAGAGCGAAGGCTGCAATCATCACGTCTCCACCTGACTCCAGGAGCTGGGGCTTGATGGAAGAACAATCCTTCTGCTGAGCGGGCAGCACTGTCAAAGTCTGCGAAGCAGCCGTTTGGGTCACTTGCCCCTGCGTCCTAGGACGGGGAAGGCTGGGCCGCCCCAAACAGCCGCCGTGGCCCCGCCCGTTCTCTGCCCCCCCGTCTGCATTCAACATCACCGAACCGACGGGCCTCCTCCAAGAGCCCCTCCTTCCGTCGCGTGCTTCGCTCAGAGCAGGGGGAGCAATCGCTCCGGGCAGCTTCGCCGTCAAATCCGGCCCCCGCAGCAAAACCCGTCTGGGGCATGGCCACACACGCGCCCCGTTCTTCCTTTGAACCGGCGTCTGCATCGACTGATCCTTCCCCAGGTTTCCACCGGCATCGTCTACGGAAAACCCGCCCCGGCCTCTCGCCTGGCCTTCTCCTCTCGTCACCTTGGGAAAAGATTTGTCCCGCCGGGGCCGAGCGAGGCGTGAGGCGAGTACCCAGCGTGGCCACAAGATCTTTCTGGGCGGCAACAATCAGTGGGTTTGGGTTTTTTTTTTTTCCTAACCCGACCTCACCAGAGCCGCCAACAGGAAGAGAAAGCCGCGCGTGGAAAGAAGGAGCAGACAGGCTGACTTGGTTCTTGCAGAGGGGACAACGCCGGGCCATCTGCCTGTCGGGGAAGGTATCTTTAAATGGGGGCCTCGGGCGGCCTGCAGGAGGGTGCTGTTGCAAAGAGAGTTGTCGCTTTCACATCGGCAAAACCCCCATTTTGTACATAAACAAGGCGTAAAATAACAACACAAAACCGGAATATTTTTTCAAAGGTAAATATCAAAAGGAACGTAACATCAGAGCGGCCAGACTGGGTCAGGCCAAAGGTCCAGCTACCAGTGTCCTGTCTGCCGACAGCGGCCAGGGCCAGGTGCCCCAGAGGGAATGAACAGAACAGGGAATCGCCCAGTGATCCATCCCCTGTCGCCCATTCCCAGCTTCTGGCAAACAGACACCATCCCTGCCCATCCCGGCTAATAGCCACTGGTGGACCTGACCTCCATGAACTTATCTAGTTCATTTTTGAACCCTGTTATGGTCTTGGCCTTCACAACATCCTCTGGCAAGGAGTTCCCCAGGTTGACTATGCGTTGTGTGAAGAAATACTTAAAAATTAAATGAATGTTAGAATAATTAAAAATTAATTAATAGGGTTAATGAACTTCCTTTTGTTTGTTTTAAACCACCCAATTCATTTCATTGGGTGACCCCTCATTCTTGTGTTATGAGAAGGTGTAAATAACACGTCCTTCTTTACTTTCTCCACACTAGTCATGATTTTATAGACCTCTCTCATCTCCCCTCTTTCTCATCTCTTTTCCAAGCTGAAAAGTCCCAGTCTGATTAGTCTCTCCTCATACGGCAGCCGTTCCAGACGCCTCATCATTTTTGTTGCCCTTTTCTGAACCTTTTCCAATTCCAATGTATCTTTTTTGAGGTGGGGCGACCAGATCGGCACGCAGTATTCAAGATGTGGGCGTACCATGGGTGTATAGAGAGGCAATCGGATATTTTCTGTCTTATTATCGATCCCTTTCTTAATGATTCCCAATGTTCTGTTCGCTTTTTGATGGCTGCGGCACCTTGAGTGGATGTTTTCAGAGAACTCTCCACAATGGCTCCATGATCTCTCTCTCGAGTGGTAACAGCTAATTTAGAAATTAAGAGACAATTAAAAGACATTCAAACAGTGTCACCAGGTTTTCACAAGCGTGCATGATACAAACAGTGAGTGGATTTTTTTTTTATATGATATAAGGATTGCAAGTTTGTGTCTGACTGGCTTCGTATATGGAACACACCGTGTTTTAATAATCCCGTTGCCTCGGACAAAGGCCCCAGTAAATTAATGAATTAATACGTAAACCCACATCAGGACACACTGAAAACTGTACAGAGCACGGAAAATCTTGGCCCCGATAAAAAAAATGGATTCAGAAAAGCAATCAAAACTTTCGGAAAGAACATTACAATGCATCCGATGAAGTGAGCTGTAGCCCACGAAAGCTTATGCTCAAATAAATTGATTAGTCTCCTAGGTGCCACAAGTCCTCCTGTCCTTTTTGCGGATACAGACTAACACGGCGGCTACTCTGAAACATTACAGACAGAGCTTCTGCCGAGGCACGAGGAATACATTACTGTGCTACCAAACCCCCAAAATTCAGCCCGCCGATTCCCGCCGGGGAAGTGCTCTGAAGAGGGCGAATGACAATAATAAATTAATAACCACGGTAATCGCAATTATGAAATATATGGAACTTACTTTAGCATGGAGGGGATTTGCCACAGGTCCCGAAGGAATCCGTGGCTGGGAAGACACTGCTCTGCTAGTTGTGGGGTGTATTCCCCTCTCCAGTAGGGTGACCAGGCAGCAAGTGTGAAAAATCGGGACAGGGGTGTAATAGGAGCCGATATAAGAAAAAGACCCCAAAATCGGGACTGTCCCCATAAAATCGGGACATCCGGTCACCCTACTCTCCAGATGGCGCGTTGTATCCTTTTCTCCCTGACGGCCACGGGACACAAGCGTCCGTTCCAAAAAAAGGCAGCGAAAGGCCGTGGCTTTCTCCAGCGGGGTTTCAGTTTGGAACTCTCTTTTGCCAAATCCGCAAACGTTTGCTCAGATCCTGCTTGGTCCGCCAATGCCAGGCGCCCCAGAGGGAGTGACCGTAACAGGTAATGATCTAGTGATCTCTCTCCTGCCACCCATCTCCACCCTCTGACAGACAGAGGCCAGGGACACCATTCCTTCCGCATCCTGGCTAATAGCCATTCATGGGCTTAACCGCCATGAATTTACCCAGTTCTCTTTTAAAGCCTGTTATGGTTTTGGCCTTCACAACATCCTCTGGCAAGGAGTTCCACAGGTTGACTGAGTGCTAAGTGAAGAACTTCCTTTTATTTGTTTTAAACCTGCTGCCCATTAATTTCATTGGGTGTCCCCTAGTTCTTATATTATGGGAACAAGTAAATCACTTTTCCTTATTCACTTTCTCCACATCACTCATGACTTTATAGACCTCAGTCGTATCCCCCCTTAGTCTCTTCTTTTCCAAGCCGAAAAGTCCTGGCCTCTTTAATCTCCCCTTATATGGGACCCGTTCCAAACCCCGAATCATTTTAGTTGCCCTTCTCTGAACCTTTTCTAATGCCAGTCTATCTTTTTTGAGATGAGGAGACCACATCTGTACGCAGTATTCAAGATGTGGGTGTACCATGGATTTATAGACAGGCAATAAGATATTCTCCATCTTCTTCTCTATCCCTTTTTTAACGATTCCTACATCCTGTTTGCTTTTTTGACTGCCGCTGCACACTGCATGGACGTCTTCAGAGAACTATCCACGATGACGCCAAGATCTTTCTCCTGATTAGTTGTATCTAAATTAGCCCCCGACATACTGTATGTGTAAATTGGGGTTATTTTTTCCAATGTGCATTACTTTACATTTATCCACATTACATTTCATTTGCCATTTTGTTGCCCCATCGCTTAGTTTGGTGAGATCTTTTTGAAGCTCTTCACAGTCTGCTTTGCTCTTAACTATCCTGAGCAGTTTAGTATCGTCTGCAAACTTGGCCACCTCACCGTTTACCCCTTTCTCCAGATCATTTATGAATAGGTTGAATAGGATTGGTCCTAGGACTGACCGTTGGGGACCACCACTAGTTACCCCTCTCCATTCTGAAAATTTACCATTTATTCCTACCCTTTGTTCCCTGTCTTTTAACCAGTTCTCAGTCCATGAAAGGATCTTCCCTCTTATCCCTTGACAACTTAATTTACGTAGGAGCCTTTGGTGAGGGACCTTGTCAAAGGCTTTCTGGAAATCTAAGTACACTATGTCCACGGGATCCCCCTTGTCCACATGTTTGTTGACCCCCTCAAAGAACGCTAATAGATTAGTAAGACACGATTTCCCTTTACAGAAACCATGCTGACTTTTGCCCAACCATTTATGTTCTTCTATGTCTCTGACAATTTTATTCTTTACTACCGTTTCAACTAATTTGCCCAGTACTGACATTAGACTTACCGGTCTGTAATTGCCGGGTTCACCTCTAGAGCCCTTCTTAAATATTGGCGTGACATTAGTTATCTTCCAGTCACTGGGTGCAGAAGCTGATTTAAAGGACAGGTTACAAACCATAGTTCACAGTTCCGCAATTTCACATTTGAGTTCTTTCAGAACTCTTGGGTGATGCCATCTGGTCCCGGGGACTCGTCCCTGTTCAGTTTCTCAATTAATTCCAAAACTTCCTCTAGTGACACTTCGATCTGTGACAATTCCTCAGATCTGTCACCTACAAAAGCCGGCTCAGGTTTGGGAATCTCCCTGACATCCTCAGCCGTGAAGACTGAAGCAAAGAATTCATTTAGTTTCTCCGCGATGACTTTATCGTCTTTACGGGCTCCTTCTGTATCTCGATCGCCCAGGAGCCGCACTGGTTGGTTAGCAGGCTTCCTGCTTCTGATGTACTTAAATAACATTTTGTTATTACCTTTTGAGTTTTCGGCTAGCTGTTCTTCCAACTCCTTTTTGGCTTTTCTTACTACATTTTTACACTTAATTTGGCAGTGTTTATGCTCCCTTCCAGTTACCTCCCTAGGATCTGACTTCCACATCTTAAAAGATGCCTTTTTATCTCTCACTGCTTCTTTGACATGGCTGTTAAGCCGCGGTGGCTCTTTTTCAGTGCGTTTACTGTGTTCTTTAATTTGGGGTACACAGTTAAGTTGAACCTCTATTGGGGTGTCTTTGAAAAGTGTCCACGCAGCGCGCAGGGATTTCACTCTAGTCCCTGTACCTTTTAATTTCGCTTTAACTAACCTCCTCGTGTTTGCGTAGTTCCCCTTTCTGAAATGACCTGCCACCGGCTCGGGCTGTTGGGACGTTCTGCCCACCACAGGCATGTTAAAGGTTGTTATATTACGGTCACTATTTCCCAGCGGTCCTGTTATAGGTCCCTCTTGGACCAGGTCCTGGGCTCCACTCAGGACGAGCTCGAGCCTAGTTCCCTCCACAATGCAGGGCCACTCCTACACAAGCGAGGAAAGCGGCTTTCCAAGCTCTCCGGCCCGTGCCCGAGGCCCTGGACCTGCGACCCCCCGCCCCGGTTACCGCCTGGCCTCACCAGGGGCAAGATCGCCTGCGGCTGTAAGCTAGGCCTGCCCCAGCTGGCCTCTGCCCTCCTGGCGGACCCCGCCAGACGCTGCCAGGCCGGACCTTGGGGGGACCCTGGCTGCCGGCGGTCGCTAAGACCTGACAAACTCGGAGCTGGAGGCCGCCCCGGCGCCCTGCGTGTGGGGTCGGCTCAGAGCCGGGGTGAGTCCGAGCCGAGCGTCTTTCGCCCTCCGACTGCGAGCGGCTCGTAAGCTGCTGCCGGCTTTAATCACTAGACCTCACTCTCCTCCCACACGACCCCAACACACACACTCAACACAACGCTCAGGACAACACACACCCAACACGACCCACAACACGTCTCACACACACACACAACACATGACACCGACAGGACACACAACACCGAGAGCCGGGGCCCTCCGCCCCCCAGCCCGCTGCCCCAGCCCTGAGCCCCTCCCGCACCCCGAACCCCTCATCCCCAGCCCCACCCTAGAGCCTGCACCCCCAGCCGGGGCCCTCCACCCCCCAGCCCGCTGCCCCAGCCCTGAGCCCCTCCCGCACCCCGAACCCCTCATCCCCAGCCCCACCCTAGAGCCTGCGCCCCCAGCCGGGGCCCTCCGCCCCCCAGCCCGCTGCCCCAGCCCTGAGCCCCTCCCGCACCCCCGAACCCCTCAGCCCTGGCTCCACCCGAGAGCCTGCGCCCCCAGCCGGGGCCCTCCGCCCCCAACCCGCTGCCCCAGCCCTGAGCCCCTCCCGCACCCCGCACCCCTCAGCCCTGGCTCCACCCGAGAGCCTGCGCCCCCAGCCGGGGCCCTCCCCCCCAACCCGCTGCCCCAGCCCTGAGCCCCTCCCGCACCCCAAACCCCTCATCCCCAGCCCCACCCGAGAGCCTGCGCCCCCAGCCGGGGCCCTCCGCCCCCCAGCCCGCTGCCCCAGCCCTGAGCCCCTCCCCGCACCCCGAACCCCTCAGCCCTGGCCCCACCCTAGAGCCTGCACCCCCAGCCGGGGCCCTCCACCCCCAGCCCGCTGCCCCAGCCCTGAGCCCCTCCCGCACCCCGAACCCCTCAGCCCCGGCCCCACCCGAGAGCCTGCGCCCCCAGCCAGAGCCCTCAGCCCCCCAACCCGCTGCCCCAGCCCTGAGCCCCTCCCGCACCCCGAACCCCTCAGCCCCGGCCCCACCCGAGAGCCTGCGCCCCCAGCCAGAGCCCTCAGCCCCCCAACCCGCTGCCCCAGCCCTGAGCCCCTCCCGCACCCCGAACCCCTCAGCCCTGGCTCCACCCGAGAGCCTGCGCCCCCAGCCGGGGCCCCCAGCCCCCCAGCCCGCTGCCCCAGCCCTGAGCCCCTCCCGCACCCCGAAACCCCTCATCCCCAGCCCCACCCTAGAGTCTGCACCCCCAGCCGGAGCCCTCAGCCCCCCACCCCAACCCACTGCCCAGCCCTGAGCCCCTCCCGCACCCCAAACCCCTTATCCCCGCCCCCCCCACATCCCCTCCATATTGGGGCACAAAAGAAAATTAATTCCACACATGGACATAAAACATTAAAGAGAACATGCCCCCCCCCCCCCCGTGTGTGTGTTTGTTCCTGCCGCCCCCTGCCACCGGGGACGGGCCCCGCTCCGGGTGTGCGTCTGGGAGCTTTGTTTCTCTGCGTGTGAACGGAGCCAAGTGAATTGGTTTCGGTCACTATTTCATTTGCCAAAACCAGGCCGTTTGGGGGCCGCCGAACCGCCGAACCCCTCGCCCCCGGCCCGCAGAAACCACCCGGCGAAGAGACGGGGGACAAAGCCGGGCCGTTCACAAAGAGCCGAGCGAAGGGTGGACCGCGGTGGGGGGCGCTCGGAGGGGCCCTTCCCCAAAGGGGCCCGGACCCCTGAACATTCAGTGAAACCTTTGGGGGGGGGGCGCGAAACAAACGTTCGTTCCTCCGGGCGACACGACGAAACCTCCACGTCCACCCGAAACCGTTTCCTTCCTTTGGCCGCCCCCCACCCTGCTGGGGCCCTGCGACTGGACGAGCCCTGAGTCCCCTCTGCAGCCCCAGCTGCTCCAGCCCCTGGGGGAGATTTTTCCGGAGGCCCCATATTGTCTGTGGGCCCTGGGCACGGGCCCCAGGGGCCCGTTGGGTCATTGGCCCCTGCCGGTGGGAGCAGAAGTGCGGGCTGCCCCGGGATCCGGCCCTTGGCCCCGTCCTGCCCTCCTGCCCTTCGCCCCACCGGCCGGAGAGCCCGCCGCGTTCAGGCCCTGGAGTGTCCGTTCTCTCTCTGGACCCCTCTGTGGATCTCGGTCGGTTTCAACCCTCTCCTTAATGGCCCGGTCACTGTGGCCATTCAGTGGACTGAACTAGGGAAAGGACAGAGGGAAACTGAGGCATGCCTCGGCTTCATAAGTGAAAATTCCCCATTTGTCCCACGGGGCCTTTCTGGCTGGCCGAGCAACCGCCCTCTGCACCAGTGCCCGGCCGCCAGAGAAAAGACCTGGCCCCGCTCCTAGCCTGACCCCCGCTAGCCCTCCCAGAGCCTCACACAGCCCTGGACCAACAGGGATGCAGAATGTCTCCCCGACGCGCAGCACTCACTCGTACGCTAGAGGAAAGACGCTTGAGGATGAGGGTCTAACAGTCTCACCTGCCATCACGGAAGGCAAGTTGTTGGGGCCAGCATTAGACGGCACTGCCCTAAGAGTGCCAGGGAGAGAACCCAGGAGTCCTGGCTCCCAGTCCCCCCTGCTCTAACCACTGGACCCCACTCCCCTGCCAGAGCTGGGGAGAGAACCCAGAAGTCCTGGCTCCCAGCCCCCTGCTCTAACCCACCAGCCCCCACTGCCCTCCCAGAGCCAGGGAGAGAACCCAGGAGTCCTGGCTCCCATCCTGCCCTGCTCTAACCACTGGACCCCACTGCCCTCCCAGAGAGAGAACCCAGGAGAGAGCCCAGGGGAGGGAACCCAGGAGTCCTGGCTACCAGCCCCCCTGCTCTAACCACCAGCCCCCACTCCCCTCCCCTAGCCGGGGAGAGAACCCAGGTGTCCTGGCCGGGCTGTCCCTTGCTCAGCCAGGCGTCTCCGCCGATGCGACGGGGCAGCGTTGCCCCGCGTGGGTGCTCCGTGGGTCAGGGCGCTGCCCAGAGCCGCCCCCTTTTGTCCGACTGCCCCAGCTGGAGCAGCTGTGTTTGCCCTGGCTCGTGCCCCGGACAATGGGGACGAGACGCAGGCTGCGAGGCCCCCTCTTCCCCGGAGACCCCGGTGCCCCCCCGCCAGGCCTGGGTTCGGGCGTCCATGCTGCGACCCGGTCGCACTCTGCGTCTCTCGCCCGGCGTCGGCCGGCACGCGTGTCCCTCTGCGTGTGCCCGTGCGAGGGGGCGCGAGTGCGAAAGGGCGCGGGGTTTGAACCCGGCCCGGCGCCCCTGAGAGGGCACACGCGGGGCCCCGGTGGAGGGGCCTGGCACAACGGGGCCCCAGGAGAGCTGCCCCTGCTCTCCTCCCCTGCCGGGGGCCGCGCGGGGCGAGGGCTGCCCCCCTTGGCCTGCCAAGCTGGTGTGTGCACAGCCTGCGCCCCACAGCCAGACCCACAGCTGGCAGAGACCCCGAAATGCAGGAGCCCTGTGTTGCCACGGGAACGGGATGCTGGGCGCGCCCCCAAAGGGGGGGCAGTGTTGCCATGGGAATGGGATGCTGGGCGCGCCCCCAAGGGGGGGCCCTGTGTTACCATGGGAACGGGATGCTGGGCGCGCCCCCAAAGGGGGGGGCCCTGTGTTGCCATGGGAACGGGATGCTGGGCACGCCCCCAAGGGGGGGCCCTGTGTTACCATGGGGACGGGATGCTGGGCACGCCCCCAAAGGGGGGGCAGTGTTGCCATGGGAACGGGATGCTGGGCACGCCCCCAAAGGGGGGCCCTGTGTTGCCATGGGAACGGGATGCTGGGCACGCCCCAAGGGGGGGCCCTGTGTTACCATGGGAACAGGATGCTGGGCACGCCCCCAAAGGGGGGGCAGTGTTGCCATGGGAACGGGATGCTGGGCACGCCCCCAAAGGGGGGCCCCTGTGTTGCCATGGGAACGGGATGCTGGGCACGCCCCCAAGGGGGGCCCTGTGTTACCATGGGAACAGGATGCTGGGCACGCCCCCAAAGGGGGGGGTAGTGTTGCCATGGGAACGGGATGCTGGGCGCGCCCCCAAAGGGGGGGCAGTGTTGCCATGGGAACGGGATGCTGGGCGCGCCCCCAAAGGGGGGGCAGTGTTGCCATGGGAACGGGATGCTGGGCGCGCCCCCAAAGGGGGGGCAGTGTTGCCATGGGAACGGGATGCTGGGCGCGCCCCCCAAGGGGGGGCCCTGTGTTGCCATGGGAACGGGATGCTGGGCACGCCCCCCAAAGGGGGGGGCCCTGTGTTGCCATGGGAACGGGATGCTGGGCGCGCCCCCCAAAGGGGTGGTGTCCCTGTGGGAGCGTCCCGTTCCCATGGTAACTAAGGGGGCGTGTTCAGCATCTCCCCACGCCCACGTCACGTAAGGGCCGCGCGGGCGCCATGGTAACAGGCACCGCCCGGAGGGGCGTGTCCTCCCGGGCCGGGACGGTGGCCGCCTTGGCCCAAAGCACCCCTTCCCTTTCCCGCTCCGCAGCCGGGCCAGGAGCCGCCAGGAGCGAAACGGCGCCTGCGCCCGAGCGGTGGGCGGGGGCGGGGGCAGAGCGGGGGCGGGTTTCCGGTTCCGGGGCGAGCTGCAGGTCCAGGTCCAGGTCCGAGGCGGCGGCTGCTTCCGGGGGGCGGGGCCGCGATGGAGTCGGTGCTGAGCGAGGTGGTGGCGGTGGAGGATCTGCTGGTGAGAGGCCCCGCCCCCCGCCCGGCCCCCGCCCCCCCAGATCCCCCTCATCACCCCCCCCGGCCTCCCCCTCATCGCCCCCCCCGGCCTCCCCCTCCTCGGGCCCCGCCCCCCCGGCCTCCCCCCATCGCCCCCCCCGGCCTCCCCCTCCTCGGGCCCCGCCCCCCAGCGCCCCCCCGGCCTCCCGGGCCCCGCCCCCCCAGACACCCCCCATCGCCCCCCCCGGCCTCCCCCTCCTCGGGCCCCGCCCCCCCCGTCCTCTCCCGCCCCGGGCGTCGCCCCCCATTGCCCCCAGTCCTCCCCGGGCCTCACCCCCATGACTCCCTCCGGTCTCCCCCTCCCTGGGCCCCGCTCCCCCCGTTGTCCCATGACCCCCATCGCCCCCTCGTTCTTCCCCCCCCCGGGCCCCGCCCCCATCACCTTCCCGGCCCCGCCCCCAGACCCCCCCATCACCCCCCCAGGGCCCCACTCCCTGGGCCCCGCCTCTTGGCCACCCCGTGGCCCTCCCAGGGCCCCGCCGCCCCATCTGCCCCCCTGCGGCATCCTCCTGCCCCCCGCTCTCCCATCGCCCCCCGCCCGGGATCCCCCTTCCCCAGGCCCCGCTCCCCGGCCCCGCATCCTCCTTACCTGGGCCCCACCCCTGCCATCTTTACCCAGGACCTGCCCTTCTCCCCCCCAGCCCTCCCTGTCCAGCCCAACCCCCGGATCCCCTACCCAGGGGTCACTCCCCCCGAGCCTTCAGTTCACGCCCCTTCCCCTGAGCCTATCCCGTGGTCCTGTCCACTGAATCCCCCTGCCCTGGGGCCACCCCCTCCAGCTCTCCCTCCCAGCGCCCGCCCCCTCCCTTCTGAGGCTTCTGCTCCCCCAGGTCCCACTGACGGTCGGCCCTGCCCCCCCCCCCCGTATCCCGGCCCTGAGTCTCTCCCTGCCGGGTTCCCCCACCCCACCGTGCCCTGGGGCTTTCCTCGGGGCCTCTCCTCCCTGAGACCATCCCCTGCTCCCCTTGAATAACCTGCCCCACTCCCCTTCTGGTCCCATTGTACCCCGCTCCACACTGATGGAGCAGGTGCCTGTGTGTTTGGGTTTTACTGGTTTTCTCTCCTGCGGGCGTCTCGGGCTCCTGGGCTGGAGGAGGCGCTTCCTACGAGCAAAATTCTGTGTTGTTCTTCCTTGGATGCTGTGACCCCCCCCGCCCCGGTCCCCCTTATACACCCTGCTGTAAGCCAGGTGCCTCCAAGAGTGTGTGTGTGTGTGTTAGGGGGAAGGGTTGGCTGGGGATCATGCCCCCATGGTGGGATGCGGTAAGCGATGTAAAGGGCCTGCCCGGGGACTTGTGCGGCAAGGCCGTGGGGAGGGCTACTCTGGGGTGGGGGTCGGGAAATCCAAGCCCTGGGCAGAGCTCTGGGGTTTTGCGTTCTCTTCCCCGGCCGTCAGCGTGAGCGACGTGGAAGGGCCCCCCCCCGCCCCGCCCCGCGTGAGAGGGTTGCCCGAACAAAGCGACAAGCCACCTCTGCGTGTTGTTGTTGGGGCTTGGCTGACATGGGGTGAAATGGGCCTCCCCCGCCAAAAAGTGGCCACCAGTGTTTTCAATTAGGCTGATTAACAATTGGAACAAGCTTGTATATTCAGACGCAGACTGGCTGCCTTGCTGGAAGAGATCCAGTGACTGAACATCTGAACGGCCCCATTGGGTCAGACCAGAGGTCCATCTAGCCAGTATCCTGTCTCTGACAGTGGCCAGTGCCAGGTGCCCCAGGGGGAATGAACAGAACAGGGCGAGGTTCGAATGATCCATCCGCTGTCCTCCACTCCCAGCCTCTGGCAGTCGGAGGCTTGGGGACACCCACAGCATGGGGTTGCCTCGCTGACCGTCTTGGCTAGTAGCCATCGATGGACCTATCCTCCAGGAACTTATCTAATTCTTTTTGCGAACCCAGTTACAATTTTGGCCTTAGTCAAGCAATACGCAGTTTCCCTCCCTCTCTAGGGACCATGCCAGCAAAGTTGCTGCCCTGTTGAGAATGAGGATTATTGGGGTTTTCTATTAGATCTGGAGTTATTCCTTGTCGGTCTAGATGACGCAGGCTCTTTCCATCTACTTTAGGGGTTTGTTCTGCTGGCCAAGACCCTAGAAGACTTTGGCAGTGTCTCTGGTGCATTCTTCCTCTTTGGGGTCAAACCTCTGGTTAGAGGAGGCGCTTTGGTTGTGGGATTTTTAAATACTATTTGGGGGCGGGTTAATTCATCTGTTTCAGGGATGGTTGTTAATTTTGGGGGAGGTTTTGTTTGTTTCACTTGACTGGGAGTTAATTGAGTAGAAAGACGTGCCAAGCCAAGCGTCATTCTTTTGGCCGAGTCATTTTCCAAGAGGTAGGTCTTCCTGTGTTTCCTAAAGGTGCTCAGACTCTGAACTCTCCTGATTTCTGCAGGAAGATTGTTCCGTAGCTGGATCCCCTCTCCAGAGAATGCTTCGTCCCCAGCTCTCGTGCGGTTCCCTCCAGGGCTTTGGGATCTGCGTTGCCCCAGAGAAGTGCAGCTGTCGTGGTGGTTCATGGCTCAAAACTCGGTCTTGGGGCTTGCTTTGAAGATCATGTCAAAGGCCTTACGCTGGCGTTGGTAGCTGACTGGGACCCAGTGGGAAGAACTGAGCATAGATCCGAAGGGACCATAGGTCATCTAGTCCAGTGTTCCTCAACGACCGATCTGTGGACTGGCACTGGTCCCTGAGATTTCCCTGATACAGTGTAGGAAGGCTGCAAGCTATCAAATAGGTCAAGACACACTGCTCTAGTTGCATCTGAAGAAGTGAGTTTTTTTACCCACAAAAGCTTATGCCCAAATAAATCTGTTAGTCTTTAAGGTGCCACCGGACTCCTTGTTGCTCTAGTCTGACTTCCTGTCTATCACAGGCTGGCAATTTTCACCCAGTTCCCCCTGGGTTGAGCCTGAGAACTTGTGCACGACTAAAGCATATTCCAGAGAGTCTGGTTTGGAAGATGTCAAGGGATGGAGAATCGACTGCTTTCTTCGGGGAGTTGGCTCTGGTTGCTTAAGGTTGTCAGCTCTGAGTCTTGCTTGTGGCTTGCTCATGAGTCAATTAAGCAGTAATTAACTCCGCTGTAGATGGGATGGCTCTGTTTGTTGCCTTCTTTGTGAGCTGGAGGAGGCTGGGAAATGCTGATTTCCTGACTAGGCCTTCTGTGGTTTTGCGAAGATGTTTGTGGAGGCCAGAGTGAAGGGAGAGCAGTGCTGCGGGTTTCGTAACCGCAGCGGGGACCGTCTTCTAGGGTGGTGTCTAGTATTTTGATTATTGAAGGTGGCTAATTCCCAGATTCCAAGGCCAGAAGGGATCATCGGGAAACCTCTTGTGTAACACAGGCCCGAATGATGAATGCCTGTTTGAACGAGAGCGGACATTTCAGAAAAACATTCCATTTGGAGTTCAAAATCGCCAGCGATGGAGAATCTACCACAGCTGTTGGGAAGTGGTTCTGGTTGTTTGGTGCTTTATTTCTAGTCTGAATTCGTCATCAGAACGGCCGCACTGGGTCAGACCAAAGGTCCATCTAGCCCAGTGTCCTGTCTTCCGACAGTGGCCGATGCCAGGTGCCCCAAAGGGGATGAAGAGAACAGGTAATCGTCAAGTGATCCATCCCCTGTCGCCCATTCCCAACTGTTGGATCTTGTTCGACCTTTGTCTGCTGGGCTAAAGAGCCGATGATTAGACTTGTTCCCATGTAAGTACTTATCGATGGGAAGCGTGCAGACCTAATAGACAAAAGTCTAAGATGATCCAGAAGTTGAAGTTGAAGCTGGAGCAATTCTAACAGGAAAGAAGGTGTGAAATTTTACCAGCGAGGAGGAATTCACCATTGGGAAAAGTTCCCAAGGGCTGTGGTGGATTCTTAAATTAAGGCGACATACCTGCTCTAGTTCAACTTGGAATTAATTCAGGGCATCCGATGACCTGTTACACAGGAGGTCTGACTGGATGATCGCAATGGTGCCTTCTGCCCTTAGACTCTCTGAAGAAGAGTCTTGGATTATTAAATTTCTGTTCCCATGTAGGTGGTTATAGATCAAGTCACCCGTTAACCTTCTCTTTGAGCTGCTGGAGGCATGCTTCTTCTAACCCTTTAGTCGTTCTCATGGCTATTCTTTGAACCTCCTCCAGTTTATCCAAATCCTTCTGGAATGGAGGACCCTGCACGTGGGTTCAGGATTCCAGTAATGGTTGCAAATATGGGGGAATCATTGAATGGTAGGACTGGAAGGGACCTCGAGAAGTCATCTAGTCCCATCCCCTGCACTCAAGGCAGGGCTAAGTATTATCTAGACTATCCCTGAGAGGTGTTTGTCCAGCCTGCTCTGAAAAATCCCCAATGATGGAGATTCCACAGCCTCCCTAGGCAATTTATTCCCGTGCTTAACCACCCTGACGGGAAGTTTTTCCTAACGTCCAACCTAAACTGCCCTTGCTGCAATTTAAGCCCATTGCTTCTTGTCCTGTCCTTAGGGGTTAAGGAAAACAATTTTTCTCCCTCCTCCTTGTAACCACCTTTTATGTCCTTGAAAACTGTTCTCCTGTCCCCTCTCCGTCTTCTCTTCTCCAGACTAAACAAAACCAGTGTTTTCAATCTTCCCTCCTAGGTCAAGTTTTCTAGACCTTGAATCGTTTTTCTTGCTCTTCTCTGGACTTCCTCCAAGTTGTCCCACCTCTTTCCTGAAATGTGACGCCCAGAACTGGACACAATCCTCCAGTTGAGGCCTAATCCGTGCAGAGTATCACTTCCCTTCCGCCCGCGACTGGTGCCGTCTGCTTTGCGCTGCCGAGCGAAATGGGTGGAAACCCGTTGGCGTCGTTCCAGTGAGAGAAGGCCATTCTCGCTGCCGCGTGGGAAGGAGCTGTGTGGCCGGGCTGGAGAGCAGGTTCAGATGTCTCTGGCCCCCGCGGGATTAGCGGTCGAAGCGCTGGGTGAATAGTGATCGCTGAGCGAGGG